TTTTTTACAGGGAATGTAGTAACCTAAGGCTTACCTTGAAGTTTTCCTTCGAGGAAAGAGTAAATTGATTAAAATTTAGGTTTTTTGATTTAAGATGAATGAAGATGTTGAAGAAGGATTCAAAATCAAAGAAATAAAGCCGCGAGTTCCCGCGTAAAGTTCAATTTCCCTGGAATTATGAGCCCCATACAAAGATAGCCAGCGGACTACCTCACAAGTCATTCTAGGAGGGAAGTGAAACTTATAAGGATGAAGGGGCGAGAAATTTGTGTCAGTGTTTGGTATTTTAAGGCAATCATAGACGACTAAATGGCCAGGTCTGCCCTAAGTACGGATGTTGAGTTCCACATTCTTCATAACTATCCCTGGTCAAAGCTTCCAACTAATATAAAACAGGTAAAAACTTGTATATTTCCTACCCTCGGCACGGACTTTTACTAATGCTCTGTATTTACCGGAATTAAAGGCCCTCTGCTGTTCTGCTTAATATTATCTCTTGGAAAATAGCCAGTCCTTGCGGAGAAAAATTATGCGTTTCTGTAATATTCTTTTTTCCTCAGTCGCTGGGTAACAGCCAGAAAGAATGGGAAAAATGTGTATTCGATTACAGTGTGAGGAATCAATTGAGATATCGTGGAAATATAGGTTAGTGCCCTTATTTAAGTCTTCAACTAAAAGGTGCAAAGAAATATCGGCTTCCAGTTATTGTCCAGCTTCATTTTGTGTTAAGTGTAAGGAAAAAAATTGGTAACTTTATTCACTGAGTTGAATAAAACTTATGCGGAAATATTACAAGTTATTGGATATCTTTAGGATTATGAACACGCACGTGAAGACCCAGTCATCATTCAGATGTTATGTTAATGTAGGTTATAAATCGTTAATTATTCAAGGCGTGAATAATCTGGTTAACAGATAATTTGTTATTAACACTGAATTCGGCAATATTCTTAAGTATTCATGTGGGTTTGAATTTGGCTTTGTAAACAAACAAAAATGTAAAATATTCTTGAAAAGATGAAGGGATATCATTAATCCTCATCAACGTGATTAAATATTGTTCATTGTGGTGTAGGATAGGAGATGAACTTTATTCGTTTGTCTCATGATGGAGTCACGTTGCGATCAACATCCGAAGTAACTCCATCGTTAGACAAATGAATAATGTTCATCTCCAATCTCACCAAGTTTTTTTCTATTAGCTATTCCTTGGAGATCACCTTCAACAGCCTCAAATCATGGCTGTTACTTTAACACCAGCTGTTAAATGTCATGTTTAGCTTTCCTAGCCTCTTTCACAGGTGTAAATATTGCACAAACTTTCTGTCAGAAACAGGGCTAAGAAAGAAAGCTTACTTGCATGCATGGTTTGATTACATATTTTTTTCCTTTATGAAAGATGCTTTTAGCTAGGATGCACTATCCCTAGTATTCCCTAAAATGTTTCTATTATTGAGAGAAGTGCAAGAAGGGTGAGAACCTTGCACACAATCATGCAACAAAGAGGGCATTTTTTTTTTTTTTTTTATTGAGAGGGAGACTTTCTTTCCCTCCATAAAACTTGAGTGCTTCTGTCATTTGAACTTAAAAGCAGCTCAGGTAAGAAATGTTTATGTTGATTATTGTGAACAGTATCAAGAGGGGTAACAGCTTGCACTTACATGGGAAATTTTATCCAAAAATCACTAAATGAGTTTTAATGCTGGTTGTTGAGATCAGTGAAAATCTCCGGGTTTGCATGACCTTGGCAGTGTTAAAGATTCTCACTGATTGTAACAAATGAATTCATAATTATTGGAGTACAAAATTGCCATTATTGACACAGAAAATCACCTAGCATATAGATTATGTCAAAGAAAGATGAAATCTGCTTGTGATTTGGATTTTGATGAGATTGGCTTCAATTGGTAATTAACATTTGCTGTTGTGTCACTTGTTTGACTTTACAATATATTGTTTTTACTTGTTCAGAGTAGTGATACAATATTTTGAATAATTACACTGTTTTGTTCTCAGTACGACAAGTCAGAAGGGATGAGAGAAAGTATTATGAAGATTTACTGCAGTACAGTAAACAACACCTCATGGTAAGGATGCTATCGGACTACAGATGATACTCTCTTTATAAACCCTCCTAGATACAACAGATTTATCCATAGCATTCTTGACAAAATTAAGTTTTTAACAGGGGTTCCTTAAATTTTTCCATAAATGGCTACCAATGAATGTAATAGGTGGCTGTGCTGTAAGGTGAAACCCAAACACTAGAGTCTTCTAGTAGGCTAAACAGACAGCAGTGAGAGGTCTTGGAGGTGGCAGTAGACCACCGATAACTGGCATTTATTGAGACCCGTGCTTTTTAACCTCCATATAAACTGTTAATAAAAACACTACAGCCTTTCTTACCCCTCCATGGCTATACATTTATAGAAGTAGAGGGGTCATAAACTAGTGTCTTCTTGGTGTTTGTTGGGTTGTAGCTGTTTTAATGTATCAACTATTCTTTATAAGTGGAGTCTTATGTTAGGCCTAGATGCCCCCTCAGCCAGGCACTTGTGATTGGCTTTTGGTTGGTTGGAGTAGAGAAGTAAAAAACTTAAACTGGGGGACTAACTCAGCCCTTGGTGAATTTTAATTCAGAGATGTGTTAAAAAATTTTTGTTGGTGTCTGGTTTACTTGCAATATTCTCTATGAGGTAAGATAGCATCAGAGGATGGTCTGATATAGGAAACACAATAAGATAATAAACATCAGGGCCAAGTTTTTTGAAGGATTGTTGGAGCTAATCCAGGCTACCAATAACTTTTGTACACAATCAACTTGTGGTATGTGTCATTCAAGTTTCTCTAACTTGTCCCTGTCTTCATATTCTTCTTGTCTTTTCACTCATGATTCATACATGGCTTGCTGTTTATTTTATAGCTGTTCCCTTACCACCTGTCAGATGTGATAGTAAAAGGTTTGAGGATCACTCCATTTTCATACTACTGTAGCATCATGGAAAACATCATGTCAAATGAAAGGAGCTATGACTCATTACCAAACTTCACTGCAGCAGATTGTAAGTTTAAAGACATTTAGATATGAAATCATTTTCAGTTTATGTTATGAGCTTTAGAAAATCCCAGTCAACATCTTTGATATAAGCAATTTTTTAAAATAGAATTTTTCTGAATATTCTGTCTGAATATGCTATGCTGGACATGCTGGATATGCAGGATGAGGCTGTTATGCTACAACCTATACCAAACTTTCATCTAAACAGGGTTGAAAAATGAATATATATCATCTTAAACTGGGTCAGGAATTTTTAAAGCTTTCAAAGCAACCCCTCCCCCCCTCCCTTCCTTAGCCAAACTTCTTTTAACTGCCCCCCTCTTTGCCAAGTCAAAAAGGGACGTGGTGACCTACAATTTGAATTACTGAGTAAAAATGAATTTCACTTTCTACTGGTTTTGAGAATTGTGAGGTTCCTATCTGTTTTTTTTTTTTTTTAGGTTTACGGCTGTTGGCAATTGGTAGAAATCAATACATTGAGTTGATGAATCAGTGCCGGTCATCTAAGGTATGAGCAGGTGCCACCTAGATTATGCAAAAGCAAACTTGAAACTGATCACATGTGAACAATAATCAATGTTTTATTGTTGGTTTTCTGTTATTGAAGACATTTCTAGAAATGACTGAAAGAGTCTTCTCTAAGGATATCTTAGTATGACGAAGAGCTGTATTATTTAAGAATGACTTAAGAAATTATTCTGCAAGAGCTAACTGGAACTGTGTATTTCAGGAAGGTGTCCTTCTTATAGAGCTGTCTGATGAGAGAAAGTGTACTGTGTTGAAAAAATTAATGCTTTGATGTTCAGTCTTAAATTTATATATAACAACACAGAAATAAAACCATTTCAATCAGACATTTTTTATCTCCTCAATCTTTTTATCCATATGTCAATATTAGCCTGTAAATTAAAGTCCTTGATAATATGAGATAGTACTGAATCCTGGATCAAGGAAAGCCTGAGGCAAACAAAGTAGTAAGCAGGTAGGAGGGTCAGGGAGAAACAAAATGTATATTTGTCCCACCCCGTCCTCCTTTACTAGTTTGTCATTCCCACAACCACCCTCTTGGTACTCTTTTTTTTTTTGTCTCCAGGCTTTCCTCAATGTTACTCGTGCTCTATGGGGATTTTAACACTCAAATGGTATATTGAGCACTCACCTATGAGAAGATACACTGTATGCCTGCTTCACAGGCAAGGTAACACTATACCTTACTCAGTCCTTGCGTTAAATCTTTTTCAGAAATTCTTTAGAAAGAAGCCTGTGCGGGATCTTCTGCCAACTAAACCTGCTGTGTTAAAGGTTCTGGAACCCTGGTGGATTGTGCAGATTGGTTATGTGACAGAAGATGACATCAGGGTAAGAAGGAGAAGGAGCTTTCAATATGATTGTACGTTAGGGAAGATTGGTCTTTTGGAGAATTGCTATTAGTTTGTGATTTTTGTATGATGTTAAATTTAAAAATGTAGTTTCTTTAAAAGCAGTGGAAAAGCTGTAATAGCTGGTACTGTTGTTGAAGCTTTTTGAGGCCTGAATAAAAACATCTGAATATTTGGCCCAGCCTCAGTGAGTTTTTCAAAATTATGTAGGTTTATTTCTTCAATATCTCTGTTAACATAGTAAGTGGATTACTTATTGTAACCAATGGTATTCAGTTTTCAGATTTCAGAATGATACTTAAAAGTGATTTCTTTTTAAAACTGTAAAACACTGTCATTTCTGTGCAGATGTGTTCAAATGCTGAACACCAAGCAATTGATTCCATAATTGATAAAGGTGCCACTCAAGCTGGGATGATGGACCTCAAAGTTGCACAAGGTAAAAGAATGATCATTGTCTTATTATCAACTCACATGCTGTGTAACTTGTTACTTGTTGAATGTATTACACTAGCTCTTTTGGGAGGCAAAGTTGACTCACCATGGGTCTTTTTTCAAAGCAGAATAGTCTGCTCCAACTGGTTGGTTTTCAAGGGCTGTGATTAGTGCATTTTGGTCTTTTGCAATTTGACTGTTCCTTGAACCCTTGAAATCCTAAGAGTGACAAGCATCTAATTTCTCCTTACAGTAATACTGCTTAATATAATAATAATAATAATAATAATAATAATAATAATAATAATAAAGATTAAATCAATAAAGAACAAAGGGAAATTAGGTATTGCCAACCTCAGAAGTTCTGATGGTTAAAACAAATTCTCCCTGTCAGTACCAAAGAAAAAGTATAAAAAGAGTAGGGAGAATATTGAACCACATGGTGTAGGGATAAGTTATAAGAAAGGGAGAGATGTTGAGTTATTTTAGTAATACTTTATAAAGAGGTATGATTTCATGTCTATAGGTGTTAGACATTGATGACACTCTTCTTTTCATAAAATATGAGGTAAACTGTTGTTTTTGCAGGACTTTACACCAAAGGTCTTATCTACATAGATGTCCCAATTGCTGATGATGACTATATAGTTGGTAAGAAATTGTAGAATCATGTTATACGTGAGCAAGGGAAGAGGCTAATATTTGCGGTGATCCTGAGAAAAATTATGAAGACATTGATGCACACACAAGTTGCTATCAAAGTTAATGCAGTGAAAAATAAATATACAGCAACATGAGAGATGTGGAAACCTATAGGTATTTACAGTTTGACTTTTGTTTCAGCATGTTTTTCACATAATGAAAACAAAATCTGAGATAACTTTGCTTTTGGTGAATTTTGAGTAAATATGTGTAAAAAAAGGTCATATTCATGAGTACAGCTTTTGTCAAATAGACTCAAAATTTAATGAGTCAATGTAGAAGATATGGAAGATTTTTGTTAACTGTTTTAAGATCTTGGTTGGCTAAACTTTCTTTCTTGGTTTCTTTCCAGTTCCACCTTTAGAGAATTTTGTGATGAACAGGGTTTTGGGTGATTACTTTGAAGTTCTGATGTACAAGATATTTGTTTCAATAGATGAGCACACTAATATAAAAGAGGTGACTTTGAATTTTTTAGCATGCTTTCAAATTATGTAATGGATGTGAAAATGTTTACCTGAACAGTCAATAAAATTTCTTTGAGTCATCCGTTGTGGTCTGTGATAAGGAAATGATGAAAGAAAGCAATTGGTTTATGATAACATCAAGTACTTGTGATAAATGATATTTCATCCATTTTTTTTTTATTGCAGTTAGCAAATGTTTTGCAGATAGATTTGCAATTAGTTAAGGTAAGATTTTGTTGTGAAGTGAAATTAATGTTTCTATGTTTTGTTTTCATTTTCTGCTTATTGCAAATGAAAGAAAAAAAAAAACACAAAAAAAAAAAGGTTAAGCTGTGGACTACTAACATCATTATCCTTTTGTATCATCATACAGAATGCTGTGTCAGTTTATATCCGACTTGGTTTTGCACACAAGAAGGGTGTGGAAATCGATGAAACTAAGTTACACCACTCCTGGACAGAAAAAGTCAACAGTTTGACAATGAAGAGGTGATATATAATTATGATAATTAAATGTTTGCATTGTCATTGTGTCATGATTGATGAAGATGGCCTGTGTGAATTTGTAAGGCACTTGTGTTTAAGGGGCCAGGGTGATGTTTGAAACAGAGGTCCTTAATGGCCTTTTAAGGGTGGTGGGGGGAGGGGGGGAGAGGTAGTTGGATATGTGCTCCCATAAACAAGACAAACCTGGCAGGTAAACAATGTCTTCTTGATATCAAACCAAATTTTCTTGACCAATTTCAAGGAAAGGTGATACAACTTGCAGAGATAATCAGAGAACTGATTATGATCAGTGAAAGGTTAATGATTCAACAACTCAATGATATGCAGCTACTTGTCTTGTTGAGATCTACATCAACAGTATGGAATACTTATTTTGTTTTCAAGAAGATGTGTGTCTCCATTTCATTACCAAGCTCAAAATTTACCATCTTTCTTATTCTGTTTGTGCACATGATGCTTAAAACATGACTGATCCCAGCAGTTTGCAGGAGGCATGTCATATATAACCATAGTAATAAACCAGCTCACTGTAGAGTCTCTACAGCTCAGTGGTAGGGTATCAGAGTGCAGAATCCAAAGGTCTGAGGTTCAAATGCTCATGGAGCATCAGAATTTTAGTTTGCCCACACTCATGACAAGACCAAAAAAGAGTCTTTTTCTTTACTTTAGTTTTCCAATTTGTGTTTCTTCAGATGTAGCAGCAAAGACAATCTCCTGACTCTGGACCTTAGTAACCTCCCAGACAAGGCAAATTCAATGACAACTTCTCTAGATACTTTGTCTAGTGATTCTCATGAAACAAATGGAGAGCTCTCTACACCAGGTAAAAACATAATACATCACTCAATTCTATATGAACAGATCTTTTGACATTGGTAAGAAGGTGCTTGGAAGGATCTGGAGTTTTGAGATGCAAGTAAAATGAATCTGCAAACAAAGCAAATGCCCATTCCCTTTCAAATTATTCCAATGTCCATATCATTAGGTGATTAATATTACCTTCCCTGCTGTACAAGGTAGTTGTCCATCATGATTTATCCCCAGAGTTTCATCAGGTTCCTCTGACATTTCACTGATGACTCTTTATACTCCTGGATAGCAAGAGGCACAGTGAAAGTGAACCCTTTAACTTCTAGAAATTATTAATATGTAACCTCTCCCTTTAATATCCATAAATTATCTAGGAAATAGGTGATGACAGTGCCCAAACTTATCTGGCAGAAGTTGTATTCTTGATCGAGCTCCAGATTGTGAAACTAATTTACAAGGAAATGTGTTGCAGCTAGAGGGAAAACTAACTATCAGATTTTAGAAGTTAAAAGTTTGCGTTTCTTGTCCAAGAATACAACACAATGGCCTAGCCAAATATCCATTTCCCATTTCTTGACCCATGGTCCACTGCGTAACCAGTAGGCTTCCATCTCCCACAAATTGAGGTTCAAGAACTGCTATAAAATCATGTTAACTGATTTCATTGGGATCTCTGATAGGGATTTTTTTCTTTTGCAAACAGCAAAAATTACACCTTAGTTCAATTGTGCAACTTTTTTTTTACAGCTGAAAGTATTTCAGGAGGGGCAACAAAGAGGATTGCTTTCCTTTTTGATTCTACGCTGACTGCTTTCCTCATGATGGGCAATTTATCCCCAGTGAGTACTGTAGGACTGTGTAGTTAATCAGTTATGTTGAGCAAATATCATCATCATCATCATAGGGGTGTCTTCATGAGCGTAATTTTTTTTTTTTTGCTTGAACAGCATGGGCCACTTTTGTAGCGATTGTGGATTCACTTGTCAAAGTCAGTCTTGTTATACATTGTTTTACGAAGCTGCATAGCCTCAATGCTTGCAGTTTTTGCTAGTCTTGACCAGTGGCATATGACAAACCACCTTGTCTACATACTATTATCTAAGCTCGCTTATTGACCAATGAGAGCACACCTAATGTCTCATTTATTGTATTATCAGTGGTTGCATGTTTCATTGTACCTGTGTGGTGTAAAGTTGGCTTTTAATGAGAAGAGCACGAGATCTGCTGTCTTTACATAGAAAGCTGCTTAGCCCTTAAACCCCTAGGAATGACAAGAGTCCAATTTCTCCATACAGTCTTACTTCTGAATCAAACATTAAGGTTATGAGAATACAGGAAATGATCACCCACTCAAAAAGCATGTAATTCGTTGGACAAACTCTCCTTGGGAAAAGTATAGAGAACAGTATGGAGAATATGCATGCTGATGTTAGACTGTAAGTGTTTTAATTTTTTTTTTCATTGATGTAGGGTTTGAAGAGCCATGCAGTCACAATGTTTGAAGTTGGAAAACTCACAGATGAATCGTTGGATAGTTTTCTTGGAGAGCTTGAGAAGGCAAGTCCTAAAAATCTTGATTATCACAATTATCTTCCTACTTTTTATTGGTATCGATAAGATTTTCTGGTCGAGAAAGCGGGGGGGGGGGGAGCAGGGGGAGCACAGAGTAAAGTTTTGGGAAGATATCAGGTTGTTCTTTAACTACGTATTATCTTTTCTCGTGAAAACGAAATAGGTCTTTTGCACCCGAATAATTCCCCCCTCTTATGGCCACTCCCTTCTCTCTCTCCTATAAGTCCAAATGATATATATGACCGTGTATTTACCGTTCTTTTAGGTGGATAGTGTTGCAGAAGGCGAAGCTCAAAGATATTTCGACCATGCCATCACACTTAGGGACGCTATTTTGTTCTTGAGATACAACAGGAACCTTGGATTGGAACCTGATCAAGTCCCTGCTAAGGGTTTAGGTGAGGAATGTGGCGTAACGAACCTATCGACTGAAAGTCAAATTATATGAAATGTTAGCTTGACAATTGTGCATTTTGTTCTACTTACAGACTTGTTACGATGTGAAAGTCTCAACAGTTTGGATTCTGCTGCTTGTGGTCGAGTTCTGCAAAAGAACTACAGGTATTTGAGTAACCCTCTCACTTCCGAGATATGTAAGTTAATTCTCCCAACTTGTACATGTGGAATTAGGTATTATATCAAAAACCTGACGCCTGATTGATATTGTGTTTCATTCTCAATACCTTTCTGCTTTAAAGTGTGTTAAAATGTAAGGAGAATCTACACACTGGTCATATCCAGGAATCAAGGGGTAGACACAATTTTCCACCAGCTGTACCTTTCGCTACGCATAATGATTTGTGCTTTGCTCCTCGCTTTGGGGAATTATTGGAGAGTTATGTTACGATATGTAGCATGTTCTAAGCGGCTAGCGCGACTAGCGTGACTAGGCGATTAAGGTTAGAAACTTGAATAGCGTGACTGTCTAATTAACGTTACTAAGCTCTAGTTTTGTTTATAATTTTCAGTTTACTGGTGTCAATGGCGCCCCTTAGTCATGAGATCCGACCTGTGACGAGTTGTTGCCCGCCGCATTTTGGTCCAGCGGTACCCGAGGTCAACTCAGTATGGTTCAAACTCTTCATATATGAACAAGTGAAAAGTGGCCCACCCTCTCTTCTTTTAGTCAAGGGTACACGCCTCAGGTGGTTACCCAAAATTTTCGAGGTAATGTTTGGTTTTTAATTGTTTAAGTACGGCTTGATAAAGGTAAGAGCGCTCGCCTCTCTTCCCCCACCCTCCTCACTGCGATCTGGGTTCAACTCCCGGACGGGACTTCCCCTGCGGCTTCAGTTTATTTTTTATTCTCTTCCTTGCTTCGAGAGTTTTTATCCGGTTTCTCTGTTTTTCCTCCCTCCACACAAGCCAACTCCCCAACTTTCAATTCGACCTGAATACAGCGGACTAAGAGTCACTTTATCCACTACTAAAATGTTATCATCTTCGTCGTTGTAGTCATTGTCATCATCATCAGCATAAATCATCTTCATTATTATTATTGTTAATTTTTTAATTTTTTCCCAGGATTTTGAAAGATTGATGATAACCACGTGGGGTCACGATCCAGGAATTGTGTCCGTGTCCAATGTTTTATTAGCGCTAAACGATGCTCTGTCTCACTCGGCTGTTTTGGTACAGGTAAGCTTACATCATTACAGACTGTTGTCTGAGGAGAATCAGCGGGGATTTACGCATTTAACGAAAAGAACAGGTTAAAATAAACCAAGAGAATATTATAATCTCTCGAGTAAACCTCATCTGAGTGTAGCAAATAATCCGGAGTAACTTTGGTTTTGCTTGACCTGGTTCTGATTGGCCCAGAAACAGGCCCGTTACTGTTGCCTAGTCACTCGTATTTTCTCGCGGTCGAAGGCTGCTGGTGACTAGCGCGGGCAAATCAACAATTTGCAACGAGCTTGAAAACGCGAAAAGAACGCGTGTGTGCATCCCCTGGGTCGCGCACTTGATTTGTTCAGAAAATCGTCATTTTTATATGCCTCTGATATTTGGAGTGGTTCAAACGAATTGTGCGAATCTATACAACGACAACTTGTTTCCTGGCAACCTCTTAGTCCTTGATATGTTTAGATAGAAAGGAGGCGCATAGAGAAAGACTGACACAATCCAAAGAATTGAACATGTATTTTTATAACAGGCTCATGGACTTCATACAGAGGGTGATGTCGTCTATGTGCCTTTTCCACTCGATTGTAAATACGGTAAGTGACTAAACCCCGGCTTTGACCCCTGAGAGTAACCAGCATCTAATTTCTCCTCGAAGTATCACCCTTAAATCAGACATTTAACGCCCTAAGAATACAGGAAATGATCACCAAGAAAAAAGCTCTTGATTGTTGAACAAATTCTCTTTGTCAGTACCTAAGGAAATGTGTAGAGTACAGTATGGAGAACATGCATACTGATGTTAGAATGTAAAGGGTTAAAAGAAAAATGTCAGATAGGAGAGAGAATCTGTAATCTTAACCATATGACGTCTTTGATGTTTGATTATCAACCGGAATTGTTAAGCGCGTAATCGTCGATAACTCCTTGCAGGTGAACCGTTCTCTGAAGACAACATGGAGGCGCACCCTGTTGTTCAACAGCTTTCGAAATGTCTCGATTTGGAACACACGTGTGGCTTTATATCCATGCTAAAACCATCCGTCACTAAACAAGCCGCGAGCGCACGCCGGAGAACCATCTCGGCAAACTTCGGGATGCCGTCGGCGGTCGAGAGCGATCCTAGTTCGCTGTCGCCGCTGATCGTCATCAACGACGCAGACAGCAGCGTTGACTCGGCGAGCGACGAGCAGAACGAGGAGGACGGAGTTGATGGAGTGACTTGTGGGTCAGATAATGATATGGTGATGGTTGGTAAAGAAAAGAAGAAAGAGAGTGAAGGCGACAGAGGTGCTGAGAAATGGCTGCCGTTAGACTTGTGTTATGGTCTTCCTTTGTTTGATGGTGACTTGAGCAATCAAGTCTATCAGAAGGTATGATCTACCAATCTTTGGAGTAAGCTCTTTTAGCCAGGAGGGGAAGTCAGGGTGTTTTTATCGGGAGTAATTTTGAAGAGTGCAAAGACTTAAGGAAAGTTTGATATGCCTGTTACGTTTACGAACTTGTTGTGGTACGAAACCTCTGCAAACTAAATCAATTACAAACCTAAATAGAATGCACACAACAGTCCTGCAATTGGAGTTGTCTCAAATATTTTTGATGGAATAATACCAAGTTTTCTATGGTCAGTTCACTAATTTTTTGGTATGTTTGGAGAATAAGTCGCTTTGGTGGTAACAGCAATGTTACAAGAAAGTATCATGCGAAGATCTGCTTTAAAACAAATTGCTTAGTTCAATGAAAAATCGAATTCGTTCTCAATTATTTTTGCAGATATCCTCGAAGGGATTGTGCCACGAGGAAAGGTAGGTTGCCATGAAATTTGTCGACACTCTTCATGTTTTTCTTTTTTCGAAAAAGGAATTCCTCTTCGCTGATCTTTCCATTTATCCTTGCAGTTTAAAGTCACTCGTACACTCGAGCCGAAAACTTACTCTGCGACTCCTGGATTTTATATCTAAACACCAGGTAAGATTGCTAATTATGATCTCGTTCACACTATGGAACAGCTGAGAACTAGCAACATGCATGTGATAAAAGTACAAATTTTAAAGCCCGCGTCCGCTTAACACAGATTGTTAGCTTATTATGGGATTCACTCAGTACAGGTTTAACCTTTCTGGAACAATTTCAATTGAGTGTCAAAAGAAATTCGGGTTTGTGTCGGTTTTGTTTTACTACGGTCTGTGATTGGCCTAGAGAACCCGCGCCACACTCTCGACCAAACAGATGCGAAAGTGAACTTAGTTGCGAATGTGTCGCCCGCGTTTACCCGCGCCTCAGCCCATTTGCTTATTTTTAATGTGAGTTTTCTTTGGCCTCTACAAAATTTCGTTTTGTTCCGAGTGGTTCCTATGAAGTTCGTGCTACGGTCTGTGATTGGTCACGAAAACCTTCGCCACAATGTCGACCAATCAGATGCAAAATAAAACTATCGCAAATTTGTCGCACGCGTTTTCCCGCGCTTTACTGAGTCCATTTGACTTGTTGTATATTTAGCTTTAGTTGGCTACTGTGACATTTCGTTTTCTGATTGGTAGTTGTCATTTTGTTTGTTTTGGTCTTTTGACTCTCAGTTTAAAAGCTTTCCATTTGTTTACTAAACATTCGCTTGTTCCTTCAAAGGACGCCACTGTGTTTCAAGAAGCAACCAGCGACCCTATCTCCTTTCCCTCACAAGGACTCAGTTCGCCCGCTTCAGTTATTCCCTACCCAACTCATAATCTCTGCTTTTACAACGGCAAACTCGATGTCTGGGATGGCAGGTGACAAACGCAGATGCCATAACTTAGACATAGTTATAATAATCTTCATTCTATTAAGTTTTGTACGATATGTGAAAAGAATATGAGATGAAACATTTATGCCCAAGTTATATCATTAGGTTACATCAGTGATTAATACAAAGCATTTTAGCTGTTGAATTGATCTTTGGCTGCCGTTTAGCAATATTGCAATCTGACTAGTTTTGTGATGCAATGATTCTCTGAAGCTCTTGAAACTCGACTGCAAGTTTTTAATGAAATACTGAGAAAATATAAACTATTGGAGGTTTAATTTTATTCTTTATAACATCAAATTTTATCATAGATTGTTGTACCTTTTCCTAATTTAAAAATGTGGAAAAATTCAATAACTTGTTTTGAGATCAGCGCCATCTTCGCTAAAATTTCGTTGTAGAAGAACGATTTATTGAGAGTGATCTTGTGATTGGTCTGTAAAGTTCACGCCGCCGTCTAAACCAATCAGAGACAAAGCAGAAAGAAATCGCGATTTGGTCATTCGCGTTTACCCGCGGTTTAGACTGTCAACGTGCATTCAATTTGAGATCCTAAGGTACCTTGCGTTGTTACAGTTGACTGTCACAGTCAACTGTTGTGACAGTTGGTTTGGATGAATTTGGGTTTCGTTTTTACGTTACTTAATGTAAAAGCGGTCCATATGCTGATAGTCGGCTCTTGTAGCGTGAGCTAGGAAGCGCCAATAGATCAACAACTAGGTAAGCTTTCAGTTTTCTTTAGTTCTTAACTGAGGTTTCTGATAGAGGTGACAATTATAGTGTTAGAGAGAATCTTCCAGCTTCTTGAAATATTGATAGAGACAAGACAATGAGATTCAAGTGTAACAAATAGTTTTTGCGACTATTCGTATCAGGGCTAGCATAACACGGACTTAATGGTGACTCGTAATAAATGAGAATCTAATCCCTGTCTTAAATATCTCTGCCAAAAAAAGCATAGTAAACTATTGAAAAACCCTGTTCTTTTTGTACCTTATTATATAAATGCGATTTGTAAAGACAGCGTTCAATTTGCCCTCGTTGTTCTTTACTTAGGGACTGGTGTTAAACAGGGAGATAATTGTTTATTTGTGTTACATACATAAACCACAAACCGGGGAATCTTTTTTTGAGACAAATTGAAAATTCAAGATTATATTAACCTTTGCTTATTGCAAATGGAATATTCATGTAAATATCTTAGTAATTTATTTTTACTCTTAAAAATACTGATACAATTTTGAAGGTTGTATTCGATTGACCGAATAAATTTAACTGTTGGATTAATGTGTTTTAGCAGTGATTATTTAACAATTATTCCGTGAGCGCGCATCGGATGTGAGATAGTAAATAGCCAACAGGAGGCGTAGCGCCATGTTGGCTATGACCAATCTCGTATCCAACAAGCGCGAATGGAATAATTGTTTTATTAAATTTCATTGAATCCTGAACGTTTGAATAACTAGAGCCTTTTTCATCTTCGCAACAGTTGGCGCAATGCATTTCCATATAAGGTGACTCGGAACAGGAGCCGTAATCGGAGTTGAGTTAACCAATCAGAACACTAGAAATGTACTATTCAGAGTTAAAAATTTATTAATACCCGTTATTGAGTTCGTTTAGCTTTTGTTTCCGTGTAACCATGGTAAACGTAACGCTTATGAGTAGTGTAAGTTGTGTTAATGAATAGTTTCTTTGCTCTGTTTTTGTAAAACTATTTAATAAGTTCGGCAAGAAGTAAAGTTTCCAGACAAACATTTTATTAGAGTGCCAGTAAATGGTATTGCAGTTACGTCTAAGAAAATAACTCAACGATAGCAATTTATTTTGAGCGTTCTTTGGCTGAGATTTCAAAAAATTTATTATAAAAAATACTTCCGAGGCTCCAGGCTTTCTTGGTCTCACCTCGAAAAGATGGTTTAAATCTCGTAAATTCTATTAAAAAAAATAGCAGTAATAAAAATATAAGGCGTAGAGACATCGTACGCTACATTTATTAATGTATTGGTCAAGTTTCTCTGAAGATGGATTGTTGATAATGGCAGTAATCTCTTCTTAAAGTTGCTTCGTCCAGTACCCCGTTTAGATGCTGTTCTATCCAACGACTGGGGTCGTTCATCTGCCACAGGGGAACAAAAATGTACAAAGAACGGTTTGTAACGTCTTTCAAAGATTATCATTAGCAATCTGAGATTGCATTTACTTCCTCTTATTATTCATTAAATTAACTATGAACCGAAAACTGGTTATGAATTAACCAATGGTTTTTTTTCTAGCTTAGGGATAAGTCGTTGTTTATCGCCTGGGAAGACGGAAAAAATAGGTTGTGCCAAAATAACACGTACCTGATTTCCC